TCTGGAGAGAAAAATTGTCTCACACAACACAGTCAACCAACTTTCTTAACAGCTGACCTAGCAATGGGTTCAGTATAGTCTTTTCACTTCATGTCAGATTTCTGCCACAACATGATATGTACAGCATGTAAATTTCAGCTTATAATATTTGCTTTTCTTAGAAATATTTACAATAACTTATTTCATGGTATTAGATGTTAGGATGTAACTTGTTCATCATATTTATATAGTTATTGATATTTATTTTTTTTAATTTCAGGTATATAAAGATTGTCATAAGAAAAAGCCTCAAAAGCAAACCAGGATATGGTAAAGTTATTGAGTGATAGGAACGCAATATTGGAAAATATGAAAATGCTCAACAGAAAGATGAAAGAACAAAGAAAAAATATAACTGAAAATATTGAGAAGAGAAATGTTACAAAAGAGATTGTAGAAAATTTAAAAGGAGAACAAAGAAAATATCTGAAGATGTCATTGAGAATGTAACCAAAGAGAAAAGATATAAAATGCTGGCTAAAGATGTGAAAGCAAATAAACTGATACATTTAAGTAAACACCATAAAGAGAGATGTATAAATTGAATGAAGAAGTACATGAAAACTGTTGTAATTTCTTGAAAATAATACACTTTTTTTTTCTGTAAATTACAGATGATAGTAGGGGTGTATATTATAAATAAGTTTAAACAAAAATAGTTTTTCATTATTGATTTACAATAATAAATACGTACTTCTTGTTCTAAAATAAGAAAGATATCACAATTTTCATTTTAAATCCAACAATAATTGTTGTGACATTTTTTTGTCAATAAATTTATGTTTATCAGTAACTGCATTTTTTATTTAGACGAAACCCCAGTTTACTGAAGCTTTAAATGTGTTTCCAGGATACATGGTTTTCATAAGTTCATTTGTCTTCATCCTTATTTCTACAGTACTTATGAAATATCCTCTTGACCATCTTTCTTTTGCAAATTCAACTAAACTTTGTTCCATATCTGGATATTGAGCTTTTCTTCCTTTACCTATAGCTTTGGCACTAGATTTACATGTTTTTATTTCATCTATATACCTTTGCCATAAACGTATGTTTGCCTCATTAAACTCATATTCTCTAGCTGCAGCTCTGTTTCCTATTCTTTCTACTAATTCTATACTTTTTGTTTAAAATGTGAACTATAACTCACACGTTATGATGACATTTTGATGGTAAAATAAAATGTTAATTTATTGGGAAAACCGCAGGGTAACTTTCAACATTATTTTAGTCGCTTAGTTTCGATTTTATTCCTAATGTCAAGGTTGACAAAATGTCTTGGTAATTTTTTTTTTTTTTGGCAAAGTTTATAGATGCATATTATACATAGGGATAGATATATTTCTTAATTTTTGGATCATTTGTTGGCGTGCGTATTATTTATCAGTGCATATTATTTTCGAGAAATGGTAATTCCTCAATAGTAATTTCTAGAGATGACTATAGAGTAGGGGTGGGCAAACTTTTTGGCTTAGGGGTCACATTGACTATTAAAAATTGACAGATGGGTCAGGCCAGCACCCGATGCATACATATCAAACACTGTAATGCTTTTTTTCTGTTTGGAAAAAGCATTACAGTGTTAATACTTACATTCACTTTTAGTGGGAACAGTGTTGTTCATCATTCTTTTTTGCCAATGTATCAAAGTCTGGTGCTAGTTTTGTTTTGGCAAGTCTCAGAACAGATTTGAGGTTTTCATCGCTCAACTGGGATCTGTGGGTCGCTTTGTTGGTATTCATTACACTAAAAGTCTGTTCACACACATAAGTGGCGCTTGGAAATAAGGGGAATGTATTACCTAGTGGGATGCCAGGCATTACAGGACAAGGTCAAATGAATGCAGTCATAATTTGTCCACCTCTACTATAGAGCTATTTATCTGATGGCCAGACTGGAGGATAAATTCTTCATGGAAATAGTCAATGAAAATAACTTGGGGGAGGAGGTGGAGTAATGTTCTGGGCTAGTATTGTACACGATAAAAATATAGGTCCTCTCAATAATGACGCCAAGGTAAATACAATGAATCATTATTGGCTGATATGGATTTTTTTGTGTGTAGTACATGGCCTAAATAGGAAACTTTAATTTAAATAGAATATTCATGCAAAAAAAATGCTCCTTTTAATTCTGCAAAGTAAGCTATTATTTCCTTTGCTGAAAAGGTTTCATAGATTTCAAATTAACAAAATGGCTTCCAGCATTTCCAGATATTTCCAACTAGTTGTGCTTTCAGTTGAAATTAAAAAAATATTTCTGTTAAAACAATTTTTTAAGGAAAATAGGTTTTTCATGTCCAGTTACTCTTTCCAGTATTGATGAGGGGTTTCTTTCCTAACCAATTCAGAATTACTCTTTTCCTAAAGTAATTACTAACCAAGGATAGAGAGCCTAGTCCACTATACTATTAATACTGGGAGGAGGTGAAGAGATGAATTCATAACTTTTACAAGGATATTTGTGTGAAAGTGAATGCAATGAAATTTTAGCTTAGTATGCCAATTTCACATTCCATGCTACACATGCACACATAAAATTTTCTGGCCTGAATGTTCAAGAAATTTCATAGAAAATATGTGTCTTTTGACAGGAATCAAACCTGTATCCTATACAGAACCATCATTAAACCTGATGTGCTATGACTGTTCAGCCACAGAGAACTACCAGTTTAGCAAAACTCAAATTATTGCTTTATGAATTATGCAGCTCTAAGCAATGTTAGTCTTTTTACTATCCCTGCCATTACCTGTTCAGCCATCCATTTACCTAAGTTAGTTAGGTAGGTTAATCACTGTTTCCCTTTGCACTTTTTGCTTTTTGTGAGTTTCAATTTTTACAAGCCTTCTTTCTTCATTATGAGTCTGAGTAATTTCAACTCTCTCCCCAATTCTAAATATAAATGTCCTTTTTGTTTGTATTTTCTTAAAACACTATTAATTTTCACTGGGACCAATCCTTCAGACAATAAGTAAGTTTATATTAAGTTATAATCAACAGGCATATTTGGATGTTTACAGAAAGTTTGATGTTTCAGTCCCTTCTTGGGACAAGTGTACAGGGTGGAATGGATAAATTGTTACTATTTTATATTTTTAATTTCATACATACATATTGTTTATTTTTGATTTTGTCAATTGCACAGTATAGTAGGGTCAGTTGGACACAGTCTGTGAGAAAAAAAGCAATTCACTCAGTCAGAAATTTGGAAATGGCATGCTGTACTGCTTTGCATTGAAGCTTCAATACAAAAATTTCAGAGTGTTTGGGTGACAATTTGAGGACAGTGCAGAGGATTCAGTAAGAGCTGGATGAGTCTAATGGTGATTACAAAGATATGTCAGCTCGGAAATCTCACTCTGATCATTCTGATAAAAAAAGACCTCTCAAACTTGTTGGTGTGGGCCTCAGACTTAAAACGGAGGCCTACATCAAATGCCTTGAGGAAGTAGTGCTGCCCTAAATCCAGAAGGTCGCTGCTGGAAGACCCAATGTCTAGCAACATGACTCTGCACCATGTTACACAAGCAGGAGAACCCAGTCATGGCTGTCAGACAATTTCTATGACTACATCACCTCTTACATCTGGCCACCTAACTCTCCAGACTGCAACCCTCTTGATTATTATGTGTGGGGCGCAGTTGAGTGAGAGACCAACAAAACTCCTTGTAACACCACAGATGAACTGAAAGCAACAATTATGGCAGCATTCACCAACTTAAACAAGGAGACCATCCAGAAGAGTTGCAGGAGATTCCAAAGTCATCTGGAGGCCAATGGTGATTCTATTGAATAAATTTACTCTTTAGTATTTCAAGATATTTTTGTGTAATTTGTTAAATATATCTGTTAAAATGAGAAGTCAGTATTATTTTCATTTTTGCATAATTTAGATGACAATTTATCCATCGCACACTGTACATTCTTTTTATAGTTGTTAAGTGTCATATAATATCTGTCGATATTTCTGAGATGAGCATTGTAACTGTTTACACTGTTTATGTTGCTTGGACTGTTGTCCTCATCTTTGTTGTCATATTCACAACGTTTCGGCTGTTGAATGCTCTGGCATTCTTCAGGTGATATACATTGGAATTTCAAACTGAACCATTTATTTGGCCCAGTGGATAGATGTGTTGGCTGAAGTAATCCAGACTTCACCCAAAGAGTTGTGAGTTCAATACCTGGCCACAGCAGAGGTGAACAATAACTTGGAGTGTTGAGTTACTAAAGAGAAATAACTGCAAACTGAGGTAGCCAGAAAAACCATGGCATGTAGAATCAGAACAATCTACCCCTGTGGACAAAAGAAAAGATTCAGTATGAAATTTCAACAAATATCACCTGAAGAAGGCCGGAGCATACAACAGCCTAAACATTGGGAATATGACAATAAAGATGAGGACAACATTCAAAACAATGTAAATAATTTAAACTGTCATATAATAATGGAAATCCATTAAATGCAGAAAGGAAAAGTTCTCTTGTGACATTAAAAGTAATGCCAAAATTGTCTCTTAGTAAATGTCAACATACTGAGTCACGGTGATACTTTATTTCAAGATTTCCAACAAGCTGAGATTGACTTTTCTATATTAAATTTTATTGCTAATCTTTCTTGCCAACTTAGAGACATCAATATTTGTAGAAGCTGAAAATGAATTTTGTATATTAGATGAGGAGGCCACTATTAGAAAACCTGGCCAATTAAGTTAACTTGTCAACAAGAGAAACATGCTTGGTTAGACCATCATGCACAAGCCAATATGCTTCTGTTAAGATCTCTATTGGCAGGGCCTACTGATTCCTATTACAAAATGGACAGTGTCCAGCTGTGCCAGAGAACAATGTAATGTAAGTTTATCACCAAAAGATTGGCAGCATTAGTCTAATGTTAAAGAAATCTCAGGAAACAAGGAACTGTGTAAGAAACATGCAAATGTCTGCTTGAATAAAATTACCTAAATTGGTTGTGGTGTTTTTCTTCAGACAGTTGATTGAATCAAAGAATGCAGTGGCTGCCTGCTGGTTCTGAACTGTGTCTGAAAAGCACTGCATATGTATATCTTGTCCTGAAAGTCCGCGAGGTATAAGGAAGGCCTGAAAAAGAAATAGTTCCTGAATATTGAATATGGAGATGATGGTAATTTGTTTAAATATATTTAAACTATGAAGGTATTCATTTCATTAGGATTGTGGAAATTTCTAGAGATATCGAAACAAGCAAAGTTTTAATTAGGAGGAGTTATGAAATACTTGACACAAGAACTGGGAGGAGACCAACAGGATAATGTTGAAGATGATTCAATAAACAAAAGTTTGTAAATAACTTGCCAAGATCTGATGGACTCAAAACTTTAGTCAAATAAGTAAAAGTCTGAATTGAGTTGAAATGGAAAAAGTTTGCTAAAGAAAGGGAGATAACTTTTGAATCAAAAGTTTCACACAGGCATAAATGCATAGTGATATGAATCCATGTTGATCATTTAAAATATTTTATCATTTTAATGTAATTAGATAGTAAGTTTTATATGGACAGTTCAGTTTATGAAAATGACTGGATTACCTACCTGATTAATTATTCTAGAAAGAAACAAATATATTTATTGTGTATAACTCATTTTGTATTAACAACTTCTTGCATCAGCCAAAATGTAAAATGGATGGAAAATATAAGTGACAATCTGAAGAGATAATATTTGGGACATGTAAGAAAAGAAGGCTTGGTGAATTTAACACTAACAAGGTGCATTTAAGACAATATAAGCAGAAGACAGCAGTGAATAAACTTCTTGACAAAGAGATTAGGTTGGTTGATTTAATGACATGTCAATTTTTGTTGGATTGTTTAATGCTAATTTTTGATGGAGGCACCCAGTGAGGATCAAACTCACTACTCTGAAGTTATGGTCAACATGATTATTCTTGTTAATCTATGCTGAATCATCTCCTACCTGATAAATTTGCCCACAAAGACAAAGAAAGGTAAAAAAGGAACAAATATTGTTTGAGAGTCAAAATTAACTGTGGTAAATGTTAGCATTATGAAAGAACTGTATTAAGTCACTTTTCCTCCTCTTGTCTTAACAAAACAATTTTCTCCACCCATGTACAGCTGAAGGCTAAATAATTTGTAAAGAAAAATATATCAAATCTGTTTCTGTACAGATGAAAGACATTAAAAGTGTTTAAAAAATATCAAAATAGTATTATTAAAGTACATATATTTTTGCATTTTTTCCAACTTGCTCATTCATTGCATTGTGATACAGCCTCCATATTAAACCTGTTCTCAGAGTTTTGAAGTTCTGACTCCTACATCAACCTTGTTTTCTTGCTCTTCTAGGCTCAACCAGGAAAGATATTGCACTAAATACTCAATCATTAAGATTGGCTTTGTTGTTGGCAACACATTACAATAAATAAACAATCCTAGAAGGAAAAGAGTAAAGTCAAAGTTTGGATTTCCAGATAATTTATTTCACTGTCCCAGAATGATTGTGATTTTGGGAGAAGAAAGAAAGACATCTTCCAAAGAAGTTACTCACTTTTCAACATCCTACCCTCTGAGACAGAAATGGTGTCTGTTATCTTCCAACACTGACAAGTATCATCATCTCTTTTTCCTCATTGATTTCAGTCCAAAATACCATACCTGCTTCAAGCGACTACTTTTGAGGAAGTGTTATTTCACTTGGATTGAAATATTAAACAAAGAGACATCATAACTTTTTCCAATTCTTCTAACACTTTTTAAAAATTATTTCACTTAAAGCAAGCTGATAATGCCACAAGGACCAAAGTGGTAACGGGAAGGGAAAGAAAATGAGAAGAGACTTTAGTAGGGAGAAGTGAAGAGAAAGGACAATAAAAGAACAGGATCCATGAAGATAGAAGATGGTGATTGGTGTTGCATCTAAAGTTTTGAAGATTGTAGGTGGCAGAAAGCAAAAAAATAGGGAGGGAGTTCCATAAGTGAGAAGTGCAAGAACAGAAACTAATTATCTCAACTGTATATGGGATGAGACAAATCTTATATAGTCAGGAAGTATTCCTCTAGATCAGAAAAATGAATCATATATAAGAAACTAATTATCTCAACATATATGGGAAGAGAAAAATCACCTTATATAGTCAGGAAGTGTTCCTCTAAATCAGAAAAATGAACCATATATAAGAAACTAATTATCTCAACATATATGGGGAGAGACAAATCACCTTATATAGTCAGGAAGTGTTCCTCTAAATCAGAAAAATGAACCATATATAAGAAACTAATTATCTCAACATATATGGGGAGAGAAAAATCACCTTATATAGTCAGGAAGTGTTCCTCTAAATCAGAAAAATGAACCATATATAAGAAACTAATTATCTCAACATATATGGGAGAGACAAATCACCTTATATAGTCAGGAAGTGTTCCTCTAAATCAGAAAATGAACCATATATAAGAAACTAATTATCTCAACATATATGGGGAGAGAAAAATCACCTTATATAGTCAGGAAGTGTTCCTCTAAAAAAAAAAAAAATGTACCATATATAAGAAACTAATTATCTCAAAGAATATAGGGAGAGACAAATCTCTTTATATAGTCAGGAAGTTTTCCTCTAAATCAGAAAAATAAACCATATATAAGAAACTAATTATCTTAAAGTATATGGGGAGAGAGAAATCTGTTGAGAAGGAAGAGAAAATGAAGGAGGAAGAGTAGACAGAATAGGAAGACATTAATAATTCCAGTTGTGATTGGGGCCCTGTGTTTAATTGGGAAATATTCTGATAATAGCAGCGTAAGAATTCCTGGCAGCCCATACTTTAAAGAAATAAAAAAAAATGTTCTCATAAGCACAGTTCCAACTCTGCAAAGTGCTTTATCCATATAAAATGTGTGTTTTTAGATTTGTTTTTTTCCTACGTATGTATAGTGGAAAATGTCATGACCTTAGGTCTCTGGTTTGGTTCCCCGTCCTATCAGAAGGGAATGTATATACAACAGAAATCAAAGGAAATGATAATAAATAAAAATAATGCCCTGGTTCTACATTAGCCATAGTTCTCATAGCTTCTGATTTTGTTTGTTTGGAGGTCTTATCATTCAAATTTTTTGTCCAGGTGAAGATTTCAGCTTATAACTCCACATCTGCTTGCAACGGCATGAGAGGATATTGACTAGAGTAGAAGAAGAATTGGTTTGCATATATTGTAATTTCAAACAAAAGTTAAAATGTTTTCCAATAGCTAACTAACTTTTAATACATGAGCTTAGTTATCATAACCTATTTAAAGGAATATCATACAGATCTCCTTATATGGGTATGAGGTATACCTCTAAATTAGTACTTATCTCCTTATATGGGTATGAAGTATACTTCTAAATTAGTGCTAAACCGCATGTGATATTCTTTAAATTTTTCTCACTTTCCAATTTCTTTTTATTCTAATCCAAGATGTTGGTCAAATTTCCTCATTTGGGCATCCGTCTAATTTTATTCCTCCCTGATTCTCCCTATCTTTTATCAATTTATTACTTCTCTCTCTCTTTCTTTTTCCTTTCTCAGCCTAAGCTCTATTGATTTATATTTTCCTGACTAGTCACCTTATCAGTCAGTGTCCAAAGTCATCCCCTGGTGCTTGGAATTGTTGGGGTGTGGGGTTTCATTATCAGCTAGTGTCCAAATTCATCCCCTGGTACTCAAAAGTGTTGGGGTGTGGGCTAACATATTTGAGAAATTTTGGATTTATGTTGAAAAGATCCCAAATCACCTGTTTTTTTTTTTAATCATTTCACCCCAAGCAAGGTGGGAGTGTCACTAGTAGAAAGGAGTTACAGAGAGTGAAAGTAAAAAGAAAAGACTGGGTATAGGGGGGATTGAAGAAAGGATAAAAAGAAGAACAGTGGGGGGGTATCAAGGAATCAGAAGATGACGATTGATGTTACATTTAAATTTTTGAAGATTGTAGTTATCAGAGAAGTAAGAGGAAGGGGTTCCACTTTTGGGAAGTTCAAGGGAAGAAGCTGTTGGAGTAGAAGAGGTGGTTATATTTAACTATTTCAACAGTAAAAGATGCCAACCTGTTGGTTATTTAATTAATCTAACCATGCATTTACTGACACTAGCTTGTAAAATCCTACACCATACACAGAATAAGTGAGAGATCATATTGCAGAATCAGCATAACTATTGCTTGAGCCCAGATAAAAATATATTTGTTGAATGTTTGAAAAAAATGATTTTTAAATTTTTTATCAAAAACGATAAAATAAACGTATAAGGACATACAGCTAGTTCAATGGTTATCTGTGGAGATAATGGAAGTGGCAAACTGAGTTCATATTCTGACTGCATATACTGCATTCACTTTCACATTAACTTTGCTAAAGGCATGAGTTCATTAAATAGCATGGTAGACTGGGATCTCCAGCCTTGAGTGGCAGCCAGACTAAAAGAAGGACCATTTTGAATTCAAAACTGTAGGGAATGCAACGAGAAACCACTCTATCATCTTTCTGCAGAATTTATGGAAATTCATAATAAAGAAAAGGAATCTGTGGAGAGCCATACTTGCCTATGTCTCAAAAGAACATGGCATGAGATATATTTCAAGATCCAAAGCAGATGCCTAAAAGTATGAATAGTATACAGCCTTATATATACTGTTTTTTTTTACTATGTATATATATATCTATGACAGTTTAATTTATAAAGTAGAGACAATAAGATGTTAAAAGTAACTATTAATAAAATGGAACAATTATAACAATATACTGCATTAAAAGTTATGACTTATAGAAATTTTTACCATGGATCTTTTTAGGCCCAATAAGAGAGTAACAATTTACAGTATTGATGCCACATATGGTCTGATGCTGCAGCTATATATTTAGAGATCTATGATAAAATGTTATTGGTTCTAATCTGGCATCTCAGCTTCAGTCATTTTCCCATCATTGTAATGTCAATGTAACTTCCTGCATTTTTTCTATAAATACTTTCATGGCAATTGTTCCAATGAACTTTCCTGTATGCTACCTGGACTTTATGAATATAAACACAGTAATAGATTGGTGACTAAGTCTCATCATTTTACAATT